ATGTGAGATGTCTCGTGAGGGAATCAGGTTCTCATTTTCACCTCCATATTCACCTCATTTCAATGCAATGGCTGAGGCAGCAGTTCGCTCTACGAAACATCACTTGAGAAGGTTGTTAAGTCTTACTAACTTCACCTACGAAGAGTTAGCAACCTGTCTGTGTCAAATCGAGGCCGTTTTAAATTCTCGTCCTTTGACACCTCTATCCACTGATCCTTCCGATTTCCGCTAGTTTGGGCTTTGGGTCGCGTGGTTTGGACTTTTCCTGGACTCAACGGCGTGACAAGAGTGGCGAAGTTAAGGACGAAGAGAGGCAAGGTGACCAGAGGGTTCAACAACATTTGCCCTCTTCCCTTTGAAGAGGTCAAGAGGCGGGAGGATGTTCACGCGTGAGGCGCGTGGGCAACCTGCGAGGGAGCGGAGGGCGCGGAGGGCGCGGTGAAGCGTGCCGGGAGCGACGATTGCGGCAATTGAAGGTGTCACGAGCCCCTTCACTTGACGACCGAGCGGCGCACAAGACACACGCATTACAAATTCCATATTACATGTACAGTGTAATAAATCAATTTAAAATACAGTCCACTTTTAATTTATACTTACGCTGCGTTACTCGAAGATAAAACACAAAATATGGCCGAAAATGTTTCATATAACATATTACACTTAGAAACTCAAGTGCCACTAAATACACAAACACAACAAATACTCACAATTCCAGCAATCACTAGTAAATACGCAAACATCACATATATCCACACAAACTGAATCACTGACCGTTTTGTTAGAAAATGATATTGAGACCCTAAGTATAGCAAATCAAAACACTATGATACAAGAAAATATACGAAAAATACAGGACTTTAGAGCAACGTTGACCCAATATTCTCGAATGGATCCATTAGTCCGTCCAAAACTACCCAAGCTGAGATATAGCAAATACCTTTTTCGTTTAGTTAATTTATTTAATGAAAGTATACTACCACAATTTTTATCTGACGACACTCAACTAACAGACATACATACTCTCACATATTGCACAGCATTAGTTATATCTGAAGAATTTAACTTCAAAATAACAGAATACTCAACTAACACAACACCAAGGCCTATTACCAAACCACCATGGCAGCTAAGGTTAGAAAAAGATATTGAAATATTAAGAGCCGACTGTGGTAGACTGACACAATACATCAACAACAATAGGTCAAATAAAGTAGTTAAAAGAGTAGAAGCAATTTTTAAGAATACTTTTACTCACACTAGACACGAAAATAGTAACAAAGACCTGAGGAATTTTTGGACACTCTTAAACAAAAATTAGCACTTAAAGTTAGTAGGCTTAGAAGATACAAGACGGCACAACAACGCAAAAAAGACAACACAATATTTACCACAAATGAAAAAATGTTTTATAGAAATATACAAAAACTCCAAACCGACTTACCAGCAGAAACTCACATAGTTACACCTACAAAAGAAGATTTGGAAATATTTTGGTCTAGTATATGGACGTATATACATATGTATACTAGACGTAGTGTATACCTACGTCTAGTATACACAACGATAGAGCAGGTTTGATAACAGAAGAAACAAACACATGGAAATCGATTGAAGAAATGGAATTTATAGAGTTCATAAAAACTGACATTACAGATATAACAGCTAGTATCAAATGATGCTCTCTTATTTATACTTTATTAAGATCTTTAGGATCTAAGCAAATTCTTAATGAACCATCTTTCTTTTCAATAATAACCAAATTGCTTACAAAACTTTTTGGGTGCTTCACTCTCGCAATGACTTTGTGCTTCACCAGAGCCTCCAACTTGTCAGCGAGGCGCTTCATAAGTGCATTAGGCACTCTCCGTGGTGGCCTCACTACAGGCTGCACACCCGGTTGAATGCGCAACTGCAGAGCACTCTTAAATTCACCCACGTCCTGAAAAAGTTTTTTATTCTTATTAATAATATTTTCCTTAGTATTATTACATTCATTCTTAGTTTGAATCACATTAATATTATTATTATTTAACAACTTCAGCTCTAATAGTGACTTTAAACCTAAAAGAGGTCTCACCTGCTCTTTTATTATTACAAATTCAAGTTTTACATACTCATCATCATTAATATTATTATTATAAACTTTTAATGTTATTTTCCCTAAAGGAAATAACTTGCCACCTCCAAAGACTATAGTTATAGTCTCAGTTAAACTGATATTATTCTCATCATCGACTAATTGTTTCAAATCTTGTAAACTAATAACATTAATCTGTGCACCTGTGTCACATTTGAATGTCACTCTTTTATTTTCAACTCTTAGTTTTTCTATCCACTCATTATTCTTAATATCTATAGTGCTAACTAGTCATAAGTCATGCACACTATTCTGACAAGGTTCATTAATATTATGAACTTTTTTATTTTCATTTGTAAGATAGCAACCTACACTGAAATGATTCATTTTATTACATTTAGTGCACTTTTTCCCATATGCAGGACATTGTCTCTGACCATGTTCAGTATTACATTTTTTACACTTATAAAAATATTTATTGAAACTGACTTTGCCTTCATTATTTTTAAAATTACTGTTAAATGATCTATTCTTATCAATATTAAATTTGTTATCTTTATAATTATTATTGAAATACTTAGCTCTATTTTCAAATGATGTGTGTTGCCGAGATGACTTTGATTCCTGCACCGCATGAACTTCCGACTTAGCCAGTGTCTTCAAATGTTCCTTGGACAGCTCCGCAGATCTACATTTGTCTACTGCCTTGTTCATCGTCAAGTCTTTTACTTCGAGAAGTTTTTGTTGCATCCGTTGCTCTTTGACACCGATGACTATCCTGTCCCGTATCATGCGCTCATTCTGGTCTCCAAAGTTGCAGTTTTCTGCCATCTTCCTGATTGCTGTATAGAATGCATCAAAGGATTCACCCTCTTCTTGTGTTCTCTTGTTAAAGTTATATGTATTAATTACATCATTCGGCTTGGCTTAAAATAATTTTCAAAGACATCTAGTACATCTTCTAATTTTGCCTTTTCGTCGATTTTTAGCACATTGAAATAAAGCTCCTGAGCCTGTTGCCCGATGCAATTTAGCAATATTGCCGCTTTAGGAGTTTCAGAAAATTTTTCTACACCGGCTGCCATGATGAACGTCCTGAAACTCTGTTTGAATCTCTGCCATTGTGTATAACATTTGTCGATGTTGTCCAGATTTAAACCTTTCGGCATTTTATATTCCACCGCACACGTCATAACGCCTTTTTCATCCTCTGACATTATGTGTTAAGTATAATAATGCAGGCTCGTGTTTTATACTAACCGGTGACCGGCACGTTTTCAATCTTTGAAAATCCTACCGACTGCGCCGTGTATTGTTGTCTTCATTATTTTTAAAATAATATCTAGGTCTTCTTCAGTTTATTGTTGAGTTTATTTTACATTTATTGTAAGTATTAATATTATATTATAAATCTAAGGATTCATGCTACGTGTTGCTTCTTGGGTTGATGCGACAAGAGGGGGGAGTTGACATAAAGCACATTTGACATTTGTCAATCATAGACAAGGTAACGTTCCGTTACTACAACCTCCGCATACCGTGGTATACCGTCTGCTCCCGGATACAGTTTAAGAATTCGCCCACGACGCCATTTCAACGAAGGCACATTAGGGTCCTTGATGAGAACCAGATTCCCACCAGTGCGGGAGACGTCTTATCCGCCCATTTGATACGCTGCTGGAAGATATTCAAATATTCCAACGAAAACCGACGGTTAAAGTCCTGGGCCATCTGTTGGAGCATTTGAAACCGTGACAACCGATTCCGAGGGACAGCGTCATAAGGATATTCCGGTAAAGCCGTTAGTAGTTGCCCAACGAGGAAATGACCCGGCGTCAAGACCTCCAAGTCATTAGGATCCGTCGATAGCGGACATAATGGCCTCGAATTTAGAGTTGCCTCAACTCTACAGAGGACCGTGACAAGCTCCTCAAAAGTAAGAATTGTTTCCCCAATGACACGCCGCATATGAGTCTTAGCTGACTTAACTGTGGCCTCAAATATCCCTCCCCAGTGAGGGCAAAGAGGGGGGTCAAACTTCCAGGTGACTCCCCGTTTGGCCAACGTTTGACCGATTTCCTTGTCCTTATCCGTAAAGAACTTCTGCACCTCCTGTAGGTATCGATCAGCACCTTGATAGTTGGTGCCACAATCCGACCGTATGAGGCTAGGTAATCCCCGCCGTGACACAAAGCGCTCAAGCGCTGCGATAAACGCCTCAATAGTAAGTGCCGAAACCAACTCTAAATGAACCGCTTTAGTAGAGAGACAGACGAACACACATAAATAAGATTTATAGATTTTCGCGTTCCGTAAGTGTGAGGCCTTGACCATGAATGGGCCTGCGAAGTCTGTACCTACACCTTCGAAGGGTCGAGTGACCGACACTCGATCCGCCGGTAGATCACCCATAACCGGTTGCATTGTAGTTGCCCTCAGGCGGTAGCACGACATACACTTAAATATAATTGACCTGACGCACCGACGCGCAGACAAAATCCAAAATTCACGTTGTAAAATCGCGAGAAGGGCGTTACAACCTGCGTGTGAATTATTAATATGCCGATCTTGAACCAGAAGCCGAACCAAGTCACCATCTTTCGGTAACAGGAGAGGGTGACATGCACCGTAAGGCAACTGAGAGTTTCGTAATCGTCCGCCAACTCGAAGTAAACCCGATTGATCAATGAAGGGATTCAGCCGTGAAATAGCTCCCTTTAATCGACCTAAGGACCCGATCGTCCTAATCTCACTAGCAAATCGTGCTGCTTGAACGCGTTTCACCCAAAACATGAGGGATTCCCGACGTTCATCTGCCGATAGGTTAGGCGAGGTGTCTCTTACATCCACCTTGCGACAGTTCCGGATGAATCGATGAATCCAGCCCGTGACTCCCAGAAGTTTATTGAGAGTGCTGTACCTAGCTAGAAGAGGATCTGAAGGCGTGGCCTCTGTTTCGACTGCCGCAATCCTAATGCCAGGCAGAGATTCAGTACCATGTAAACTCGTAGGAGGCCACGTCGACACCGGATCCGCCAGCCACTTTGGTCCCCACCAGAGGGGATGGTCTACCAAAGGGGGGGCATCACAAACCCGTGAAGCCACATCCGCCGGATTGAGTTCACCTGGAACGTGTCTCCAGATCAACTTCACCTCCGAAGCCTGGATCTGAGACACTTGATTGGCGACAAAGACTTCCAACCTGTGAGGAGAAGCCTGGAGCCAAGCCAAGACGATTTGGCTATCCGACCAAGCGTAAACCTCCGATAGTTCTATCAATTTGCCTAACGTAGAGATAACGTGATTCAGTAACCTAGTGAGTAAGGCAGCTCCCGAAAGTTCCAACTTAGGGATACTCAACCGAGTCCGTAGAGGAGCAACCTTACTCTTAGCCGTCACTAAGTGAACCGCCGCTGTTCCATCCCGCTTTACGGTACGTAAATATACCACCGTGGCGTATCCTGACACCGAAGCATCGCAGAACCCGTGGAGCGATGCTTTGTACTTCCCGGATGGAAGAAAATGGCGTGGTATCGAGACCTGAGTAATGGATTCCAACCGATTCAGAAATCCCAGCCAATCGGTAAGGAGGTCCCCAGTGATAGGCTTATCCCAAGAGATCTCAGCGATCCACAATCGCTGTAAAAAGTACTTGGCCCAAAATATCACTGGCGCGATCCAACCGTTGGGATCGAAAATTGTGGCCACCGTAGAGAGTACCGAACGCTTAGTCCAGAGTTTCGCCATTACTGCCGTGAACCTAAATGAAAAGGTATCCGAAACCGGTTGATACTGCACCCCTAAGACGGAAGTACAGTGAGGACTACCCGAGTCCTCAAAAAGGAGCGGATCCTGCCTGTGATCTGCCGGAAGATCAGCCAATAAGCGTGGGCAGTTGGAGACCCATTTTCGTAACTCATAGCCAGCCGTGGCAAGAATTCCGATGAGCTCATCTCGAAGCAGTAGCGCCTCGTGCTCAGACGATGCCCCAGTGCATATGTCGTCTACATATAGATCTGTTTCCAAGATGGCTGCCGCTCTTGGAAATGTTGCTCGTTCCCGATGAGCCAACTCCATTAGGCTCCGAATGGCCATCCAAGGGCTAGACTTTAATCCGTAAGTATTTGTAGCCAGTTCGTAGACTAAAAGTGGCTGCGACGGATCTTCCCTCCAAAGAATCAATTGGTAGCGCCTATCATCCGGATGTATGATAGTTTGCCTAAACATCATACGAATATCTGTGGCAAAGACCACGACATGCCTACGGAAAGCCGTAATAAGATCCGAGATATTCCTTTGGAGCTTAGCACCTGAGTGTAGACATTGATTAAGAGAGACGCCGCTGGATGACGGAGCCGATCCGTCAAATACAACACGTATCTTCCCACTATCAGCCTTAAAAACAGCGTGGTGAGGAATAAAGTAATGTTCCACCTAGGAGTAATCCGTACGCGGGTAGAGCATATGTCCAAACTCCTTATATTCGCGCATGAATTGAACGTATTTTTCCCTAAATACAGAATCCCGTTTCATGCGGCGCTCCATCGACAACATGCGTTTCTCCGCTAAGCCAAACGATTGACCGAGAGGTGGGTGTGAAGAGAGAAATGGCAATCGTGCCATAAACCGCCCTCACGGTAAACGCACCAGAGTCCGTCTATAGTGACTCTCGCACTCCAAGTCTAGTGGGTCCGTGTGAGGGACCGAAGGAACCTCCTCCACTTTCCAAAACCCTTGTACAACCTCGGCCAGAGAAACGCCCGTAAATACCGTTTGATCATTACTCTGAATAAAAGGAAATGCTGGGCCCATAACTAAGTAACCGAAAACCGATGGGAAGGCAATCAGTCCATCCCGATGCAAAGCGATAACCGAACCCGAACATAACACCTGTCCTGCGACATCAGAACCGAGAAGCAGATCAACTAAACTCGGTTTCCAAAACTCGGGATCCGCAAGAGGCAGACCCGAGGCGGATTTACCAACCACCGCAGGAATACCAGTGGATGATTGCCAAGTACCTGGTCCATAACAAGAGCTGTAACCGAAATAGTGGGGGAAGAACCCGATTCCCCAGTAACCATAAAACTAACCTGACCATAAATTGATGTGACCCGATCACCACCAATTCCCCTTATGAAATTAAAGTGTCGTGAGATCGATAGGCCTAACTTCCTCACCAGTCCAATAGTAATGATGCAGCCTTGAGCCCCAGTGTCCAGAAAGGCCCGCGCCTTAACTGTGGCTCCACCAGAGCCTCTTACCCAAAGTGACACTGTGGGGAGAATAACCATTTTTGAAAAGGCTGCACCTGGTGAGGAGGCCGCAAATACCTATAATGCCTGAGAGGAACCGGTCCGAGCCGGAACTGAGGGGAGCCCCTGGTGTTGTGGCCCCCACATCCACAAAGGAGCCTGAGGGGCCAACCCATGATGCCTTGCCGACGCTTGATAATTAACTTGCTCAATCAAAGGGGCGCGCGACTGTATCAGCGGCTGTTCCGAACTTATTTGTGCTGCCCGAGCAGCGTAAGTTGCAGCTGAAATGTGGGACTCCACTTGATTCTCAGATGGTTGCACATCAGCCCGGTGCTGGTAACCGATTTCTATGTTTGCTCTTGACGAACCATCATAATCTCGATGAGAGGAGGAGGGGGGACCCCCGCCCCTGCGAGCATCCCGATGCTCATTTTGGGTACCCGTGCCCCCGCGAGAATCCCTGTGGTTCTCGGGGGTATACCCGGCGAACTGATCCTGAGGGGCACCCCCACCCCTTGGTGCACCCTGATGCAACGGGGAGCGCTTTGAAGGCTTCGCAATCCGTGGCTAGATGTCTACCCAAACACACCCAGCAGTGACCTGTACGCCATACAAACTGGCGACGAACCCCAACGTTAGCTCGTCTGAAGTCCTCACAATTCAGGAGCGGGTGAGCCGCTCGGTCACAAAAGTAGCAGGGAGACAGCGCCTGGCTCGCTGGCATCGCAAATCCCTTAGGCGGAGCCCGAGGTCGCAATGATATCTGACCAGCCCTCCCTTTCGGGGGTGGTCCATATATCTGTCCGATCTACGCAAGTGGGGGGCGTCCGGCCCTTCCACATTGTCCACCATCCTTGACTCCTCTTCCAGAAAGTTGAGTAGGTCCGTAAAGAGGGGCACATCCATTGGTAACTTCCCTCTGAACTGGTGTTCAAACCTGAGCTTCAGCTCAGCCGGCAGCTTACCGAGCGTTATGTGAAGCAGTAAAAATGACCATTCCGTTACCGGGAACCCGAGCTTCCCTAACGCATTATATGCTACTGTAAGTGAGTTCAGTAGCTGAGCCCGAAGGTCGGTGACCCGGGTCACCTTTGGTAAGCCTAGTATAAGGCTTACGTGAGCGTCACCTAATCGGCGCATATTTTGATACCGTTCCGTTAGCAGTGTTCGAGCCGTCTCGTAACTATCATTAGTGACGTCCAAATGTGCCACTAAATCATGAGTGTCCCCGGATAAGGCCGTTCTCAGATAGCCCATTTTCTGAGCTGCGCTTAAGTCCGAGCGTGCATGCATCAAGCTATCAAATAAATGAATGAACCCCATCCACTGCTCATATCCTCCCGAAAAATGAGGAAGATTGAGAGACGGGAGCCGGGCGACCAATCCCGGTTGCAACGTGGGCCCCCCCGTCTGGGCCACGCCAGAAGTACTATTCATTCGCGTATACGCTGCCCCAAACGTATCCGCGAGTTCCAAAGCCTGTTCGTAGTCCAGGTGGTAACGAGCGAACTTCGCCCTGACCGTCTCGTCCTCCACCGAGGCTTCCGCCTCCAGGATAACCTGGTAAGCCTCCTCTAATTGTCCTAAGTAAACTTCCAGTTTTTCATGGCGATTACTCAGTTCAACCACCCTGTCCGGCCGACCGATCAAACCGGCAGCTGACTGTAACCATTTCAATACACGTGCTAATGTTGCCCTAGCTACCGTAGGCGACATCTCAAATTGAGCCGTAAGTGCACTCGTAACAAAGGAAACTAATTGTTTAAATACAAAAATCCAATATAAAAATGAAACAATAAAATCCGTCTGTCCGAGGCGGTACCAAGAATTAAATAAATAATTTGTACTACGTAACCTAAACCGTATCGTGTAAGCAACAACACAGAAAAAAAGTATAAATCTCGAAATCAGAAAAACATAACCTTTCCTTTTCCGAAGTCGGTTAAGAACAATACCCGTACATATATTACAAATATCACTTCTAGTAAATCTTAATCTATGCCAGACAGACTGTCACATCTGTTACTACGCTAATCTTTGTTCCGAACACAGAAATACCCACGTATTTGCACTTATAAATTTATTCTAAAAATATGTTGAAAAAAGTTTACCGCCAAACTAAAAATGTAAATGTGAAATTTTCAAATCTTAAAAATATACCAAAGATACACTATCCTATACACTAAACAAACTATTCTGAGATACAGCCATTGCTAATATAACTTAAAAAACGTAACCGTAATAACCTATAATACCTAGTACCCGTTACAAAAACCAGTAGGCCAAAACCTTCTTTCTAAGGAGAGGCCTATGTCCAGCAGTGGACTATTAAAGGCTGTTGATGATGATGATGATTGATGACCTAGTACCCGTTACAATATAATTTTAATTCTTGTGAATCGTAAACGTAGCCTAACCGAACCACGCTCTGCTACCAGAAATGTTTGGGATTCTCCCGCGACCCCAAACTGTCCGCGATAGCGCGGAGCTGTACAAGAGAAGAATTTAGCCACTTACCAGTGAGGCTGATCCGTCTTCTGTTCGGAACCCTGTGATGTGTAAATGTGCCCTATCTAAATGTGTTGTATATAAATATATTGATAAACTACGTTACCAGTGTAGTCCCAACCCGTATTTCCGTAACCAGCATCCGGTGCTCCACTGGTCACGGCCGTCTTCTCTAGTCCAGTCCAACTAGCCAATAACCGTACCACAAAATAATACACCACTGCGACAATACGCGCATTCGAACAGAACAAATTATATCTTAATTTTGGTTTATGACACCGCGTGCATTTCCGACCGATTTCAAAACTTTTGTGTGAAGCGGTACGTCGCGCGAACCTATTGTAAATCAACTACCCGCTTTTTTAATATCCTACTTTTCTTAACAACCTCACTCGTTGGCAGTATACTCAGAAGCTTTTGGGTGACTTTTGGCGTAGATGGCAGAATGAGTACCTAACCAGATTGCAGCAGAGACCGAAGTGGCTGATAAAAACTGAAGATTTCGAGATAGGTGAAATCGTCTTAATCAAGACAGATTGATTACCACCTGGCAAGTGGTCCCTTGGCCGAATTGTCGACAAGCACCCGGGAGCAGACAATCTAACAAGAGTTTACAGTGTCAAGAGTTGCGAAACTATTACCAAAAGATCTGTAGCTAAATGATGTGCTATGCCGATTGATGCAAAGAATATTCATCTGCAAGGGTCTTGATATTTTGTTGAAATGTATTGCCATTTAGAAATAGTTCTTATACCTACATAATTATAGTTCAATTTATTTGTTGTAAAAAGGTTTAGCCCTTTTTGGTGGGCGGTATGCTATAAATAGTACTACCCTTGCATTTAAAAGTTAGTCGCAATACAAGTTCTGTGGAGAGAAGTCGTCGTTTCATTTACTACAAATCCTGCAAGCTATATTCAACCTTAAACACATCAACAGCAACTTTGGCATAAAATAAATACAATAAAAGAATTGCCGAAT